ACTCACAGAGAAGCTATAATTTCTGGACTAATGTTCTATGAAGCTCTGATACCATGTTGAAATATAAACTAGAATGATATTGAAAAGTGGAGGAAAGATTTTCTGTGTATTTCATTAGTTGTGGAAGTCCCTATAAATATACATTACAAATAGAATATTCCTATATAAGATTCTATACAATAATAATATCTATGGTATATTCCTAATATATTCTATAGCATATTCTAAAGTATATTCTAAATTTCTAATATACTTTCACAACTACGTTTCAGCCCAAACGCTTGAACAACAGAAGTAAATTTTCCGAACCAAGCTCGTGGAGATTGCTTTAGACCATAAAGAGAGCGGCGTAACTTGCACACCAAACCAGACTCCCCCTGAGCAACAAACCCAGGAGGTTGCTCCATGTAGACCTCCTCATCCAGATCACCATGTAAGAATGCTACAGTTTGTAAGAATGCTACAGTTTGGGAATTGTGATTGAGGAGACGGAGGATATAAAGTTACAATAGGAAGGAGTAAGTCTATGATAGCTAAGGAAATTGTAAATAGGATGTGGATTACGGGTAGAGCGAGTACCTTTCCTGAGAGCAACCGGCCAAGCTAAATCATCATTATCAAGAATTGTGGAAGAGGGTGATGATTGAGAAGGATCTGCTGAAGAGGGCTCACTTTGAAGAATTGAATTGGTTTGTCGGGTCCTACGTTGGTAGGTAATAAGAGGAGGACTTTGGTTGGTTGAGTCGTCTACTGGATCTAAAGGAGACTGGTTGGGAATGGAGTCATTGACAATAGACGGAACAAAGGGCTCAAGAGATGGTATAGGGAGAACTTGCTGGACAGATTGATCGAGAAAAAGGAGTTCGTTCAAAGAAAGTGACATGGACAGACATATAGTATCTCTTATTCTCAGGAGAGTAACAACGATACCCTTTTTGAAGACGGGAATAACCTAAGAAAACACATTTGACAGCCCGAGCCGAGAGTTTATCTAATCCTTGAGACATATCATGAACAAAACAGACACAACCAAACACACGAGGGGAACCATGAAAGAGAGGTTCATTAGGAAACCAGACAGAATGAGGGATTTTATTATTAAGAGAAGAGGATGGCATTCTGTTAATAAGAAAGCAGGCAGTTAAGACAGCATCTCCCCAATGATGAACTGGTACATTGGCACCAAGTAATAAAGTACGGGCAGTCTCAATCAAGTGTCTATTTTTCCTTTCCGCTACACCATTTTGTTGAGATGTATGAGGACAAGTGGATTGGTGTAAAATGCCATGTGAGCTTAAGAGGGAGGAAAAACTAGAGGAGAAATATTCCTTGGCATTGTCACTCCTTAAAATTTTCATCACTGTTCCAAATTGATTGCGAATTTCGTTAAGAAAGCAGGAAAAGATAGACAACAGTTCAGAACGGTCCTTCACTAAATAAACCCAAGTACACTTGGAAAATTCATCAATGAACGTGACAAAATATTTGAAACCAAAAGAGGAAACCCGACTTGGTCCCCAAACATCAGAATGGATAATAGAAAATGCAGAATTACATCTAGACTCAGAATAGCTGGGAAATGAAGATCTAACATGTTTCCCGAGCTGACAAGACTCACACTCTAAGGTTTGAAGACCGCTGAGTTCAGGAACCATTTTCTTTAATTTTGCTAAATGTGGATGCTCGAAACGTTCATGCAAGAGTTTGGGATGAGTAGCTAGACAAGAGACGGGTGATTTGTTTCCAAAATAGTAGAGACCTCTAGATTCATATCCGTCTCCAATCATCCGACCCGTTCCACATTCCTGTATAACAAATGAATTAGCATAAAAGGTTACAGTACAGTTCAATGACTTTGCTAATTGGCTTAATGAAATGAGGTTAAACGTACATGTGGGGACAAAAAGAACAAATTTTAAGTTCAAGGTAGGAGAAAGGGATACTTGGCCAATTCCTTGGGAAGCTGTTTTGGATCCATCTGCCATGGTTATAAGATGTGGGTGTTTAAGATGTGAGAGAGAAGAGAATAGAGAAGTATTACCAGAAATGTGGTCAGAAGCACCTGAGTCAATTATCCATGGATTTTGACTTTCTACTGATTGTGAAACGCAAGCAGTTGATGTAAGCGGAGTTTTGGAAGATTCTGCTGAGTTGTTGGACTTTAGTCTCAAATACTCTTGGTATTCCTCACCAGACATTTTTGGATCAGAAACTTCAGAAAATTTAGATTTAGAGAAGTTGACGGTTTTATTAGGAAACCCATGAAGAAAGTAGCAGTTCTCATGGGTGTGACCCATTCTTTTGCAATGGGTACATTGGGGACGTCCTCTTCCTGTACGTCCTCCTCTGTTTCCACGACCCCCTCTTCCATGAAATACCATGGCTGAAAACTCTGCAGGTTCTTGAGACTTGTCACCCTTGAGAGTGGGAATCCGAAGGAGACGTGTTGTTAAACTTTCCATGGTTGGTACCTCAGATCCAGTAAGGATTTGATCTCTAACGTGATCGAAATCAGAGTTCATGGCTCGGATGATCATTACCATATAAAATTTATCCAATTTCTTCTTGGTTTCCTCTACAGATTCAGCTTCTAAGGACATCTTCAGTTCTTCGGCAGCAGCTTGCGCTTCGCAATGAACGACATCATATTGTGATCTGTCTGTTTAAGAGATGCTAACTTGTCGGCAGCATCATATAGGCGCTGAATATCATTTGCAAAGATCTCCTGGACTTTCTTCCAAAAAATCTTGCAAGTTTTGAAGGTTCTGAGGGTCCCTAAAATATTGGGTTCTACAGACTGCCATAATAGAGCACACAACTGGTAATCTAACCTTTTCCATTTTTTAGGTTCTTCCTTGATCTCATTTTCATCTTTTTCAAGATGGTCATGGACCCTTGTCCCAGAAACCAAAGTTCCACAACAGCTGACCAAGACATATAAATTTTCCTATTAAGCTTCTCCGAAGTGATAGGAGTTCCTGAGAAGAGTTGGGTTGGACCGGAAGCCATATGGAAACAATGACGTTAGGTCTGCGACGATGAGCAGCGGCCAGGGTTGGATAGAGATGGCAGAACCGGGCTTTGATACCAACTTGAATAAAAGAGAGTTAAAGGAAGAGAATAATTTTCTGGTTGTGTGTCTGTCCACAACCCTGAACCCCTTTATTTATAATAATGAGTGTACAAGTACATTAATGAGAGTGAGGAGATGAAAGGTCAAAGAAGATGAAAGATCAGTTCTAGAAAAAAATACAGAGGAGTCTATTTAGCTACCAATAAATCTTGATAAATCTAACAATAAGCATAATAAATAACAATTGAGTTGAAACATTTAATGAGATGGTATTGATTTCCACCAGAAATTGATTCGAATTCTTATGATCAGAATGAGAGTTGAATTGAATTCTTACGTTTGGAGTGAAAGTTGAGTTGAATTCGTTACTTTTGAAATTGGAATGGGTCTAAAAATGAATTAATTTAATTGATCACAATTGTATCCCTTATTATCCAGTTAGGAATAAAATAATACATTCAAGTAAGGTTGTTTTAGTATTTTTGTTTGTTGGAGTTCAAACCCCACAACAAATTGCACCCAGATGGGTGGGTCTGATTTCAATTCTCGCGAGTCATGGAATTCAATTCAACTTCTGGGGTCCCCAGGCGTCCTATTACAGTCAATGGGGGTTTCCAGGTGCCGTATTAAGTTATTCATTGCTGATATCAATAGGGGTGTCTGGGTAACAGCTGACCGGCTGTGTTTTGTGGCATTATTGACGAGTTTAACCATCTGCTGATTGTCCTCAAAATGCTGAAATGCTATATACTAACAAGGGCAGTGTTCGTGAGCAGCGGATTAGCAATAAATGTGAAAAGATCTTACACACAGTTGAAAAGAACTGAAACCAGGATCCAAAGATTGGGATACAACTACTATTTGTTTCTCACACCAGTTGCAGCTATGACTATAGCTCGGTACACGCCGTCGACAACCAATCTTAGTTGCCTCGCGTCACATAGCACTGAAACCACTGTTCCCGTCACCATATCGTTGCCCCTTCTGATGGCTTAGGACTTGATTAGTTTATAATTTTTCTTTTTAAGCTGGCCCCCATTTTTTAAACTACTGATCTTTATGTTTTATGAAGTCCTCAAAGTTATTTTACATTTTTTCGTCATCTTTATTTATAAAAATATAATCTAGTTTTAAGAAATTATATAGTTACACGTTCTTGTTAAGTTATTTAAGTTTTAACTGCAACATTGAACAACTAACTTACAAAAAACAATTTTGAAAATGCTATCCCGATTCACTAACTTAACCCACTATCGGCTGATTTCTATCGGTAATTACCAAACAAGGTATATGGTCTGATACGTAGAGAAATGGCTAAATGTATGAATATGTGTGGGGGGAATACAGGCCAGCCTTTGTTTGGTTAAAATAGGGGAGAAAAATGGAATAGTTTAAAAAGAGGTTAAGTTTTGTTTAGTAGATGAGCGACAATGAATCATGATTCTTTTAGATTTAAAGTATTGTATTTGGTATGATTTTAATTGTAATAAAAATGTGGTTATCTACATGTAGCAATAATAATGTAGAGCAATTTTGATAAAAATATGTGAATAAGAATTTAAGAAAAATGTAAATCCTCCTAAATATCAATATCCAAGTTGATATAGTGGTATGATAAGTTTGGAGGAGCATATAGCTTCTAAACTTTCCCTTGTCCCCCAATCCTTTCAACCAAACATACAATACTCCTCCACGTTCCTCCCCCTCCCTCCAAAGCCCTTCCACGTAACAACGACTTAGGAAATATATGCTAACTAATGTACTGAACAACTGAATACATCATTAATTATGCAGTGTTTATTTCCTCTACTTTAGCTTTCAGTTTACTGAAAAATCTAATTATCACTTCTGGCTTTGTTATCATTCAAATGAAGCTGATGCAGCACTCCTACACCGAGTTCCTTATAATTTTAATGCTTAAATGCAGTGAGATATCCGAAACAGTATTGAAGAGCAACTTTCTCACAATTCTGTTCCCAATTGATCGCTTTTCAGAAATAGGTCCTTGTTCAAGAACATATTTCAGTGATAGCGGCTTTAAGTGCCTGCAGGTCTTGGATTATATATATGCCTTTTACCAGGTAATTCATAATAATAAATAATGCAAGCAAAAAAGAGTAGAAGAATGCATTTTAAGATGAGCTTGCTACTTCCTGTAGATATGTGTTTAAGATGTTTAATACTCCGCATAAAAAGAAATGACTGCAGATAGGAGTAACTTTCTTTTGTGCTGAAATAAGTCTCTAGTCCTAAAAAAGAAATACAGAAAAAGTAGTTAATAATTTTATTTTTAGGAGCAAATGATTCTTATTTTCAGGAAAACAATGATGATCATATCTGAATAAGTGATTTATGTTTAAGTCCTATTTATGAAATTTCATCCATATAAAAAAAGTGTCATGAGTTTAATAAATCCCTGATATGAAAGTGTTGTGTGCTTGGGGTCTTTACGTCATAATGGATGAAAAATGGTTGGTTATAATTTCTTTGCTAATCCATGTGCAACCAATCTAAAGTGGAAAATATAGGCATATACTTTTGGAAACATGTACTTTATACAGTAACAGTTTTGGAATTATGGAAGGTGAAGTTCATTACATAATAATAACGGGTGGTTGAAATCACTTGCTTGAAAGTTGAAATGTAGGAACTTGGAGTGCATTCTTCCTAAGAGAGATAACTTGTGCCCTGATTAATCCAGTATAATGAGTCTTACTTGCCTTGCACAGGAAGATATGTCTGTACAAGATATAGAGCTAGCCATTCACACGGACTCCAGACATGCTGATCAGCTGCGCTCTGTGTATTGCAGCCATGAAACCACAGAGCGTGGTTACGTGGAATTTAAACGGGTCGAGTTTATGGGTAGCCGTAAAAGCTTTGAAATGCTTAAGCGCATTTCTGGGGATAACAGTAGCAACATGTATGAGTTGGTGATCAGAGCCTGAAGCCAATATAGATTAGATGACTGAATCACTCTGGTTTCGACATTGGCATTTATGAGGAAGTTCTAAATAAAAGATTTCTTTTTTTGCGAGGTCTAAACAAAAGATTCTAAAATAATTTCCACATTAGTTGCCATCAATTGCGCCACATAGTGCATGCTATATGTAAGACAGAATTTGTTGTGCTCTAAACAGAAGTCCAAAATCCAATCATCAAGTGTGGCTAAGGGTGGACCCGGTACCAGTCCCGTGCCTCAATTTTTGGGCCTGGTACCGGCCAGTTTGGCTCCTTTTTGTTTACATTTGAACAGCTAGGAAGCATTTTAAAAGGGGTGTGGTATATTTAAAAATTGAAAAATGGTGGGAAGAGGCTGGGGACAAGGATGGAGAGTAAAAGAATGTAGGTTTGCATATGTTTTTAGTCCCTGCAAATATATTACATTTTGTTTTACATTCCTGCAATTTTTTATTTTATTTTTCATCCCTGCAATTTATGTTAGTTTTCTTTTTAGTCCTTCACTGATGATAACGATCTCCGCTTGACCTCAAAATAACCTCTATTAATAGATTTCCTCTAACTCTTTGTCATATTATTCAAAAAGAATTTTATTTTATTTTTTCGATGTGAATATTTTGAATGTGAATATTTTGTTTTACATTCTAAAGAATTCTTTTTATTCTAATATGACAAAGAATTCTTTTTATTCTTTGTCATATTATTAAAAGAATTTAATATATTTTTAAAATGTGAATATTTAGTTTTACATTATATTAATTCTCATATTAGCCTAAAAAAAACTATAAAAGGACAAATTTAAATAATTCTAGTAGATTTGTATAACTGACAATGATATTTTTCCTAAGTAGAGTGGTTCGAGATTTAGAGAAGGACTGAAAACAAAATAATACATATTACAGGGATGAAAACAAAAATATTACTTTGCATGAACCTAAAACAAAGTGTGTCATATTTGCAGCCTTGCAGGGACTAAAAATATATTTAAGCCAAGGATGTATTAAATATATAAGAAATCAAGACCAAGACTTGCAGGGCCTGTAACTGGAAATATAGGTCCCGACCCGAGATAGGGTTGGCAATATCACCCGCACCCGCGGGTACCTAGTCAATCCGAACCGAAAATAAGAACAAAAACACGAAAAAGTATGGATGAGGAATGGATGATGGGTGGATTAAAAGATGGGTTGGATCGGGTGCAGATGAACACTCATTCAACGCATCACCTGACCCGTCACCCGCTCCATCCACCCACCCATTGACCCGCACACACACACAGTGAGACTACTATTCCTGTCTGTATAGGAGGGTGGTTCGGCCACCTCATTTTGAGGTGGTTCCCGGTGTTATTTTTTGCTCAATTTGTTTGAGCATGTTCCTCATGAAGGGTATATGATTTCTACTAAATTTCAGGAAAAATTCAACCGAGAAAGCAGTCAAATGATCTTTTAAAGATAATTGCACCAAAATATACATATAAAACGCAGTTATCTTCAAGAAATCATTTGACTTCCTTCCTGACTGAAATTTTTGCTGAAATTTATTGGAGATAATCTACACTTCATGGAGAACATGTTCAAAACATTTAAGCAAAAATCATCACTGGGAACCTCTTACAATGAGGGCTTTATATAGGTTAAAGAATGACATCTTTTAGTCTATTCGAGCCTAACAATCAGGTATGGAGGTAATATTTGATCAACAATGAAGAAGATGAGGTTTTCCCATCAAGAATAAGCTTGCATGTTGCTGTGTTTTAGCAGAATCAGGCTTAACTGGCATCGATTCTTCTTTGAACGCAGGTAAAATCTGGAATTTTGACATAACCGACGCCGGTTATAGGGGTAACTGATCGGGCTAAACTTGCAAGTGTACAAGTGCCGATATAGTAATAAATTCCGGTAAAATACCGGGTCGAATCCACAAGGAAACGTTGTTTAATTTAGTCCGTGAGTAGATAACTTTAAATGAAGAAATGAATAAAGTGCAAGGATTTTGATTTGTGTTTTATATTTTTGGCTTTTCACTTTTTGCTTAAGAAGATAATCGTTAACTAATTTTAAGTTTAAGATGAATGATAACAACAACTAAGGCTTCAGGAATCACTTAAATGCTTAAATAGGGTTGAATATTAGTTCTTTGCCAATAATTATGAATACGATGTCGCTAATATATTCTCAACTCCGGTTAAGGCAGCGAGAGCGTGGTTTTCGTTACGTGTAAGTCCCGTTACGGCTTACATTCATCTACCGAAAACCCCGTTGAATATCAAGACATCACACCCGTATCATATAAGACCGGATATATTTCTATTCTCGGTACTATATATGTTTATCCTTTAATGTTCATAGTTTAGACTTCAACGTTAATTGCAAGTATAAACTAAAATTAACATACTTCTATGTTGTACACCATAGTCATAAACAATCAATATATAAAGGATAAATCACAATTTGTTGGTTTAGAACTTTTATCAAACACCTAGTGGGCATAGAAGTTCATCCCTAGCCTTAGCTAAGAAATTGGCCTCTAATGCTCATATTAATCACAATACAATAATAAATGTAATGGAACATGAAATTACAAAGAAAATAATACCTAAACACCAATGATTTCAGAGGATGAACTTCCCTCCTCAAGAACTTGAAGAAAATACCAAGAACAAAAGTATAAAAGCTAAGAATTAATCTATGAAATGGAATGTGTTTGTATGATAAATTGAGGGCTTTATATAGGCTAAAGAATGATATCTTTTAGTCTATTCGAACCCAACAATGAGGTATGGAAGCAATATTTGATTAGCATTGAGGAAGATGGGGTTTTCCCATCAAGAATCAGCTTGCACGATGCTGTTTTTTAGCTGAAAATCGACCCAACCGGCGCCGGTTGGTCAGATGACCGGCCCCGGTTGAAAACAGGCTCATTTGTGCGAGAAAAAAAGTTCCGACCGGCGCCGGTTCAAGACCGAACGGCGCCGGTTGCTGCGCCCAAAAATATACTCCATTTCTCTTCCTCTGAAATGGATCAAAAAGTGTCGGTTTTTGTACCGGGATTTTCGAGATGTTACTCTACGAATTTGGACATGATTCCTTCACCAAAGTTGTAGATAATGAAGTCTTCTATCCAACAAAACTTGAATGACGTGATTTTATTCATCCAATCAACAGATATGGATAAAACACTGAGAGGTATGCATCCTGAAATCCAACCAGCAACATCTGACTTTATCGGTTGATTGAGTATTGTTCCTTTCCTATTCTGGCCATGATGTCTTCATAACATTTTTACCTTATTGAGTAACCATTCACATGAAATTAGAATGGAGTGATTTCGAGTTCTCTACAATACGTTATACTCAAATGATGGGCAAAACGTCATCCTTTTGGTCCCAAAAGTCGTTCATCACAATGTTTAATGCTCTAACTCTCATTCTCAAGATATTTTCCCAATTTCTCTTCTTTTCTTCAACAAATACTTATAAATACTTATGTTAACACAATTAAATATAATGGCTATCAGTAACCCAGCGCCAGTTAAGCTACTGGTTTGTGTATATGGGCAAAAATCATCAGACCGGCGCCGGTTTCATGAAATTCCGGCGCCGTTTTTGTCCTGCGATTTTGGGGATGTTCCGTTACGAATTTGGACATGATTCCTGCATTAAAGTTGTATATAATGAAGTCGTCTATCCACCAGAACTTGAATAACGTGATTTTATTCATCCAATCAAAAGATATGGATAAAACACTGAGAGGTATGCATCCTGAAATCCCACCAACAACATCTGATTTTATTGGTTGATTGAGTCTTGATCCTTTAATCTTCGGGCCATAACGTCTTCATAACATTTGTATCTTATTGAGTTAATATTCACATGAAATTCGAATCGAGTGATTTCGAGTTCTCTACAATAAGTTATACTCGAATTATGGCCAGAACGTCATCCTCTTAGTCCAAAAAGCTCTTCATCGCAATGTATTATGCTCTAGCTCTCATTCTGAAGTTATTTGCCCGATTTCTCTTCCTTTTTTCAACAAATACTTATAAATACTTATTTTAAACACAAGTAAATATAACGGCTATCACACACAGACTTATATTAAGTCACACAGACAAGCATTCAGTTAGATACAGACAAAGAATCAGTCACACAAACATATGTAGAAAAACTTATGTTTAACTTTTGTCATTACAGGCCTACAAGGGGTGAGTTTTTGCAAACATGAACAACACAATTGGGCACAAAAAGGTTGTTAACAAAAAAAGTAGAAAACATATAAAATATTATGTGAGAATTTCAAAACTTTATTTGTCATAAGTTCATAACTTCATAAGTCATAACTTCATAAGTCATACTTTAAGGTCACACAGACATGAATTTAAGGTACCCGAAATCCAAATTAACCAATGTTTTTTAAGGAATTTGATCCTTAGTTGAAGAAGTGAACCACAATTGTACAATACATTGGAAAATTCATTACTTTTCCAAAGTCCCACACATTTTTTCATTTGGACCTGTTTTAGTAGAGTCACACAGACAATCATATTACTCACACACACATATGTAGACTCATACAGAAAATAATATAAGTCTTCACAGACAAATTGTAACACCGACCCCGAGCATATTTACTTTTAGTAAATTATGTAATAAACCTTGAAGGATGATTTATGAATTTACGTAATTGTTAAATTTCATTATTTCTTTTACGTGAATAGTAAATTGCATGTGGGGCCCACAGTGGGAACGTGGACCGCCCGATAATTCCCGAACCACATATTATATTCATCTTGGTCTAGATAATATGTATATGGTGGTGGATATTTTATTTGGTCCATAAGAAAGGCATGGAGTTGACCGGTTGGTCAAACGGGACCCAATTACCGGTATTGGTAATTTAGCGGATAACAACCCGAAATGAGTTTCGGAGACTCCTAAATTGATGTTGGGGAATGTAAATCTATTCTAAAGGCCCATAATCTTTGAGAACGCGTCACATATTTTATTTGGCCCGATAAAATAAAATATAATTAAAACGGACCGAGAAATACAACTTTCGGGGCCGATTGTACACACCGGGACATAACGGGATGACCTCCCACCTAAGTGGGGGCCACCCCACGTTTTTAGGTGGGATAGCTGACTAAGAAATAGCTGGAGGGGACAAGCCAAAGAGGCTTGTGCGGACAGGAAGAGGGGAGGAAGTCTCATTGAGACAAAACCTCATGCCAAT